GAGCAGGGAGCCTGATGCAGGGCTCGATCCCAGGACCCTGGGATCATGACCTGAGCTGAAGGCAGATGCTTAACGACTGAGCCACCCAGGCGCCCCGATATATAAAATCCTTAAAAAAAAAAAAAAAAAAGAAAGAAATACTATCCTCAGTTATTAATACAAACCCACAAAGTATTAGTATCCTTGGATTTAATATTTGTAATTTTAGCTATTTGTTGGGGGTATCAGGTGTTTATGTATGCTAATATGTAATGAGAATAATAAAAGGTACCTCAGATACTGGTTTTAAGGATTAATTGAAATAATGCTTTAAAGTGTATACCAAGAATATGAAGCCAGTTTTATGAGGCTGGTGAAGAAGTCTTTCATTCTTTAGTGTACCTAGTTAAATCGGCAGTCATCTCGGTTTTGTTATTCCAGGGTTCAGGAAGGTTTCTCAGCGCAAATAGAGTCTGTCTTATTTTGAGCGTATGTTTGTTTTCTGTCTGTTTCAGACCAAGGAAGTACATACAGTGGTGACCTTGAATCAGAGGCAGTATCTACTCCGCATAGCTGGGAGGAAGAGTTGAATCATTATGCCTTAAAGTCAAATGCTGTGCAAGAGGCTGATTCAGACTTGAAGCAGCTCTCAAAAGGAGAAACTGAGCAGGATCTGGAAGCAGATTTTCCATCCGGTTTGTGCCACATAAAATACTCTTGATTTTAGAAGATTGGTATAACTCTGAATTGACATTATGAAGTAGATATACAGTGTGATAATCTAGGGCACAAATGATGCCCACCTTTGAAGGTTAAATAATAAGTAGTTAATTTTGTGTTGTGTTTAACCTTTCCCATAGTAACCATGTAGGAGGTTTCCTTGATTTTTAATGAAGTTTTTAAGTGCTGTATCCTTTGTTTTTCTTAAGAATGTAAATAAAGTTATTTTATCATGAACAAAATAATTAATATAGTGATGATTACCTGATGTTTCCTCCCCCAGTCTGTTTTTATATAAATCTGTGAGTTATTTACCTCAATTTATGCTTTCTGCTGATTATTATAGAATCCTTTGACCCACTGAATAAAGGACAGGGAATCCAGGCACGTTCCCGAACAAGACGACGGCACAGAGATGGCTTCCCTCAGCCTAGACGAAGAGTAAGCAGTAGATTAATTTTTCTAGCATTTTCTTTCCTTCGGTGTGTCTTGGTTCTTGATGTTTACAAAGCTCTGTAATGGGCAGGGTCACAGAATTCCATACATTGTTCTACCCAGCCTTGTACTTTTTTTTTTTTTTTT